CCACAGGGCTCTCCGAGGGACGCGGTCAAACGCCTTCTCCAAATCCACAAAACACAGGTAGATTGGTTGGGCAAATTCCCACGCACCCGCCAGGATCCCCCTAAGGGTATAGAGCTGGTCCAGTGTTCCACGCCCAGGACGAAAACCACATTGCTCCTCCTGAATCTGAGGTTCAACAATCCGATGGACCCTCCTCTCCAGAACCCCTGAATAGACCTTATCAGGAAGACTCAGGAATGTGATCCCCCTGTAGTTTGAACACACCCTGTGCTCCCCCTTATTAAATAAGGGGACCACCACCCCAGTCTGCCAGTCCAGTGGGACTACCCCCGATGTCCACGCGATATTGCAGAGCCGCGTCAGCCAACACAGCCCCACAACATCCAGAGCCTTAAGGAACTCTGGGCGGATCTCATCCACCCCTGGAGCCTTGCCACAGAGGAGCTTTTTAACTACCTCAGTGACCTCAGCACCAGAGATTTGAGAGGCCAACCCAAAGTACCCAGACACTGCTTCCTCACTGGAAGATTTGTCGGTTGGATTGAGGAGGTCTTCGAAGTATTCTGCCCACCGATCCACAACATCCTGAGTAGAGGTCAGCAGCACACCTTCCCCACTATAGATAGTGTTGGTAGTGCACGGCTTTCCCCCTGAGGCGCCAGATGGTGGACCAGAATCTCCTCGAAGCCGTACGGAAGTCTTGCTCCATGGTCTCACTGAACTCCTCCCATGCCCGGGTTTTTGCCTTGGCGACTAGGGCTGCAACAACGAATCGATAAATTCGATGAAAATCGATTACTAAAAGCGTTGGCAACGAATTGCGTCATCGATTCGTTGTGTCGCACAACTCTTCCAAAAGCGTCCCCCCTTCCCGCCCGCCGTTGCGCGCAGACCAGAGCAAGTCAGATCAGCGCGAGGGAGAGCCGGCAGATCAGCGCGAGGGAGAGCCGCAGATCAGCGCGAGGGAGAGCCGGCAGATCAGCACAAGGGAGAGCCGGCAGATCAGCGCGAGGGAGAGCCGCAGATCAGCGTGAGGGAGAGCCGGTACCGGCAGATCAGCGCGAGGGAGAGCCTGCAGACTTGCGCTGCTGCGAACCGGTTCCGCATTGTTGCACAGCAATCCAGGCAGCTGCTTCCAGCGCACGGTCCATTCTCAAAGTGGCGCAACCAAAAAACTATAATTAGCACACGATCGTTCATGTCCGCACATGTTCTCTATTTTCTGTCTTATTTGTGCCTGAAGCTCGCTACTGCGGAGCTCATCACCTGTGCTGTGGTGATGTCACCTCACGCAGCATCGAAAACGCGCTCTGCGCTTTTTGGTCAGGAGATCCCTTTGACCTGCTCAAAAGTAACTGAAGAGGTGAAAAGGTAAGAATCCAGGCAACAGATTTTCTGGAGAATTAAGAGGAGATGCAGGAAGATGAGAGACAGACAGGACAGGAAAATAGTTCAATAAAAACAAGAAAACAAAACAAAGTGTTGAAAAGTAAAATGTAGGTAGAGTTATCTCCATGACACGTTTTTACCAGTAAAAAACAATAAGTTATACACATGTCATATTTATACATCTGATACAATTCAGATCACCTTCAAAACTCAGTCACACACCCAGGGCCGTTTCAAGACATTTTGGGGGCCAAGGCAAAATGCCCCCCCCCCCCCCCCCCCCAATAACTGGGCTCCCCAGAAGCCTCTGTGTAATTCATGCCCTCTCCAGTAGTGTTAGTTATATGGTGTTTATAAAAGCCCCTCAGACATTACTGACATGTTCTAATATTATCAGAAGAAAAACTAAATTATCAGACATGCTGTCTCATCTGCTTCTTTTTTAAACTTGCAAAAAGTAACAAAACCATTTGAAAGCCACTATTTGTGGATTCTCTGAAAGTTTCCATGGAGTGTGCGACAACTTATTTTTTCATTGATCCTATCGTCTAATCTCACAGCTGAAACAAGCATCCTTAATAATCTGTGCACAGGAAGCGTACCGATGCTGTAGTAAAACAAAAGGTATAATAATTTATTATTAATAAAACCTTGTTGCAGCACTAAAGCAGAAAAATTAGATGTTGCAATAAATATGCAAAATATTTACATATGAATTGTTTTAGAGCCCTTTAATTGGCAGAATCTGATATTAATTTAGTTCTTACAAAAAATGGGTCCCAACATGGTTTGTGTGGCGTTGCCATAGTGTGACGTCATAGGCACAGATCCCCTGTCCTCTTGTTTGGAAATGGAAATATGGTCACCCTACATTAAACAAACTGTCCACCCGGGCTTTTGCGCTGCACAGAGACGCTTCGCTGCCTATGACTGAACGTCAGTTGAGAGTCAGTCTCATGCAGACTGACCAATGAAGAGAGGGCCTCAAGTTAAGACCCTCTCCTCATTGGTCAGTCCACACGAGGTGGGTCAAAGGTTACTCTGGGCGGGTTACGTGTTGTCAGGCATTCAAGTATTGAGTATATTTACTGCATATTACAGTAAAATATTCTGTATGTGACCACATTATGGTGATCCTTGGGTCGTGATGATGGAGCCCTTGAATATTGTTGCCCAGGGTACAACAAAGTGTTAATCTGGCCCTGGTTCCGCCGTCACATTCCCGCAGAAACTGGTTGATCACACTGGGGCCAGACTACTAGCATGTGGTTTTACAACCACAATGTCCTCAGAAGCAAAAACGCTTTTAAAAGGGAGGGAGGAGTCCTAACTGTTGCTGCAGGCGTGTTGTGTGAGAGTGCAGTTATATACTGGTTAATATATTTTTGGGTTCAGTTGCTTTCATGTGGCCTAATGTGAGTCTATTTGGGATCATTGGAATGATCAGCAGCATTTCTTGATGTGACTTTATGGCAGTTGCCCAGGGCATCATCGCAAGGAGGATGGCATTCATTTACTTTTGTTTTATTTGGTATTTTTTCAGTCATTTTTGGAAATAGTGATCAATTTTGATTAATTCACAGCCTATGTTTAATTACATTTAAAATAAATGTCAACAGATGAGATCAAACAAAACAGATGAGAATTGCCCTTAAGCTGTTTAACTTGGACCAAGCATTTTAGGTCACAGATAGATGTAGCTTAGGGTCTCTGTCTATACACCTTATAAGACAATTTAGGTGATGGCATGTTGTTTTTCTGCTATTGAACTGTTTTCTAATAATGTTGTGTTAAATAAAGTGAAGGAAGGAGAGAAATAACGTTTCCCTAGCAGTTTTTAAAAATTTCCCCATGTAATCCGATTAATCGATTAATCGTGTCGAGACCCCATCCGATTAATCGATTATCCAAATAATCGTTTGTTGCAGCCCTATTGGCGACCACCCGAGCCGTGTTCCGCTTGGACTGCCGGTACCCGTCAGCTGCCTCTGGAGTCCCACAGGCCAAAAAGACCTGATAGGACTCTTTCTTCAGCTTGACAGCATCTCTAACCGCCGGTGTCCACCAGCGGGTTCGGGGGTTGCCACCATGACAGGCACCGACGATCCTGCGACCACAGCTCTGGTCGGCCGCCTCAACAATGGAGGCATAGAACAGGGTCCATTCAGACTCAATGCCCCCCATCTCCCCAGAACATTTAGGAAGTTCTGTCGGAGGTGGGAATTGAAGCGCCTTCTGACAGGAGACTCTGCCAGATGTTCCCAGCAGACCCTCGCGATACGTTTGGGCCTGCCTGGTCTGACTGGCATCCTCCCCCACCATCTGAGCCAACTCACCCCCAGGTAGTGGTCAGTTGACAGCTCCACCCCTCTCTTCACCCGAGTGTCCAAAGCATGCGGCCGCAGGTCAGATGAAACAACAACAAAGTTGATCATCAAGCTACGGCCTAAGGTATCCTGGTACCAAGAACACATATGGACACCATTATGTCTGAACATGGTGTTCATTATGGACAATCCATGGCTGGCACAGAAGTCCAATAACAAAACACCACTCTAATTCAGATCAGGGGGGCCGTTCCTCCCAACCATACCTCTCCAGGTCTCACTGTCATTGCCCACGTGAGCGTTAAAGTCCCCCAGCAGAACGAGGGAGTCACCGGAAGGAGCGCTTTCTAGCACCCCTTCCAAGGCATCCACAGACCACAGTCAGAACCCGTCCCCCCACACGTAGGCGGAGAGAGGCTACCCTCTCATTCACTGGGGTAAACCCCAACGTACAGGCACCAAGAAGGGGGGCAACTAGTATGCCCACCCTTGCTCAGCGCCTCACAGTGGGAGCAACTCCAGAGTGGTAGAAAGTCCAACCCCTCTCAATACTGTGAATTCATAAATCATCGTTCAACATGTTGTCAGGCTTACTTTGCACCTGAGACTTTCTATAAAATGTAGACACACTTAAATGGATTTAGGTTTATTTAATCAAAATGTGGTAAAAGAACACATGTTCTCTTTCCAAATAGATTATCATGGATTTCTTATATCCTGCCTTATGTTGTGTTGGAATTTCATTATCCTGGGGGTACAGACACCTGCTGCCCCCCCCCCCCCCCCCCCATTAAAGGTTTTTAATCGTATTCTAATTTAAACCCAAAATAAAAATGTTTAAATCTGCACCTGTATTTGTCCAGCCAGTCTCTCAGGATTAGACTAATCCCCACACCGTGTGGGCTGGTCTTACACTTAGAACATCGCCATGATGGTTTATCCTGAATAGAGCAGTATTTTTAGCACAGTAGTTTGAGTTATTGGAAACGGTCAACAAGCCCCAGTGGGTTAATGAAGAAGGGCAGCATAAAAACCTGTGTACAATCAGTTCTACTAAATTTCAAAATCCAGAGAAAATGAAAATGAATAAAGTAATTTCAGCTTAACAGTGGGGTGTTCTCAAGCAGCACTGTTTTCCATGGTTCATCAGCTTCACACCTGAAGGTATGATGATCAGGTATAATGATCAGGTTAAGATTAAATTCAACATCTCAAGAGAAACGGTTTCCAGAAAACAACAATGTAAAACAATTCCAAATCAGTTTAAACGTATTCCTGGAGCATGTTAAAAATGATTAAAATATGTTGAAAATATTATTTCGAGGCTAAATTTAAAATTTTTAAATAAGGGAGGTATAAAAATTTCTAAAATAATGTTAAGAAAGGTTATAGAAAATGACTCAAATCCATTCTAGTTGTAAATTGACATTATGAGACATCTGAATACAATCTAGAAAAAAATTTAAATGTTTGGATAAAATTTTAATATTTTTTCCAGACTAAATTTAAAATGTGCAGTAAAAAGTCCAAATAGTCCATATTAAAGTTAAAATGTAAATAAATGTTTTAAAATACTGTTTTTTGAGAAATTTTATAATGCTAAAAGTAAAGATTATCTTCATTTTTCAGCATTTTGACTTTAATCTCAACCCTAACCCTTGTTTGCTTTTGTGCAACGGGGAACAGCGTATCTACGGTAAACATATGACAGAAATGAGATAAAATAAAAGCAGTTTCAGGTCAAAGCAACCAGACCAGTGCCAAAGCAGATGTCAGCAGTGTTTATTCCTTGAACGTGCAGTAAGACATTTCAATAAATATATATTTTTAAATAACAGCATACTTTCTTTTATGATTTAAATATTTAAATAAACATCAGCTCAAAAATACAGCCTGAGAATCACAACGTTTACTTTTATCAACACACGAGATTGTCATAAAATCCTTTGGTAACTCAGTTCCACAGAATATCAAAAGACTCAAGTTAATCCAGTGCAAATTATCTGCCTCGTGCAAAATGAGATAATAGTGCATGAGCATGGATCGATTGGGGAACACAGGATATGACAGATAGTCCACAGAAGACCGGAGGGGTTGTAAAGAGCCAGCTGTTGAACTAAAGCTTCAAGTTTCAGCTGGGAGACGATGAACGGTGGGACAATGATGACATCTACTGGTATCTTTGGCAATACACATATTTCTGCTTCATGCAATGTAAGACATGATCTCATGCATGGGAAGTTAGCTGGAAAAGATGACACAAATCAGTTGTGTCCTTGTTACAGATTAGCTTAACCAGAGTGGATGAATCATTGAATACATGCAGTTCTAATCATAGCTCTCTCTACTGCTAACACGTGACTTGTTAACAAGATGAAGATGGTTAAACGTGAAGCATGTGGATCCTCAATCATTTGCATCACAGACACCTTTACTACTTTTACTACACTATCCAACGTAACTTCTCGCCGTACATTGATGACGTTATTTGAGTAAATTCTTTATCTTGTTTAGGACAGTTTTAGGCATCAGGTGAAGGTTAGATTTTAATATCTATAGTTGTAAAAGTTAGCTTCTATCTTATCTGTTGTAGATAGCGACATGAACATCCTGTTTGAGGAAACGGTGTTTACTAACAGTTAGTATCTTAAAACAGCTCCTATTCACGCAACATTGTGTTATTAACCATTACACCCCCATCAGTTTGGCTTTATGGTTATTTGCATGGAATTATGTTGCTGGGCCTATTTACAAATGTAAAACTTAGCAGCCCTCTGGACCAGAGGGGTAGGGGAGGGGTAGGGTTAGGATTAGGGATAGGGTTAGTCCCTGGGTCAACTCCAACAGGAATGTCTTAATATTTTTGTAGAGGTAACCCAATAATGCAAAACTGACCGCAGTGAAAAGAGTAATAAAACGATGTTTTCATGGAGTTCGGAGCTGTTTCAGGATGGCTGTGAAATGTGGTATTCAGGTTTATCAGGACAAGCCATTGCTTAGCAACTCAACATGTTTAAAGTCATTATTTATAACTTCACCAAAGTAACAAGTTTAACTTATTCACATTTAGTCATAAATGGCCCGCATTTATAGAGCACGTTCAAGTGTCCTAAAAACCCCCAAGGTACTTTACAATAGATCAGACGTTCACTCATTCACACACTGATGGTGATGCCCTGGGGAACACTGACAGAGGTGAAGCTGCTGTACACTGGTGCCACCAGTCCCTCCGACCACCATCAGCAGGTAAGGAAGGTAAAGTGTCTTGCTCAAGGACACAATTATTAAATGGGCCATGAACCTGCAACCCTCTTCTTATAGGCAGGCACTTATCACAGAGGATGACACTGATTACTCCAAACTATCATCACATAAATATATATAAAAGTGCATTAACAGAGTAACAGTGATGCCGTGCCATTTTCACTTTGAACTTTCCTTGAAGTCAAGTTTAATTCATCCACTCTGTTTACATTCAGAATCAGATTTATGTGACAAGCTGGTAAAGGACCATGTTGTTCCTAGGTGCTACTGTTCCGGCTCATTTACCACCATCTCAGATCTTTTCTCTGTCATTTTGCCTCTGTTCTTTTTATCAAACTCTGTCGTAATCTGAGCTAAAGTCTTGCCCTTTGTCTCCGGCAAGGTTAGCCCCAAAAAGACGGCAGACACCAGACAAACAGCCAGGAAAGGTAGGAAGCAGTAGTTCCCTAGGCTGTTTATGATAAAAGGAAACAGCATTCCCACCAAGAACAGGCTGATCCACATCAACGATCCGGCAACCATGTAGGCTGCTGGGCGAGCTGCCTGGTCAAAGATCTCAGCAGGCAGGATACCCGTTACCCCTGCTGGGCCTAGGCCAAAGCTGAGGATGTAGGCAAACACACATGTCATGCTGAGATAAGACATCCCGGCCACTCCATGGCTCTGGAGGCTAAGTGCTACAGTGAAGACTATCGACCAACAAGTCATCAGAATGTATCCGCCAATGAGAAGGTACCTCCGGCCCACGTGCTCAATCAGAAGGTTGCTCAGGACAGAAGCAGTAAACTCAGAGGCCCCAGTTCCAATGGTCACATACTGGATGTTCTCTTGTGGAATTCCCGCTTCCTGAAATATGTAGGATGCATAGAAGTAAATGGAGTCATTTCCACAGAGCATCATGGCACTACTTGCTGCCATGATCGTCCTGAGCTGGTATCGTAGGCCAGGATCTTTAAACAGGGACCAAGGCGTCTTGGCTAGAGCTGTAGAACCTGATTTTAAGGCTGCGGACATTTGCTGCTGCTCCTGAAGCATCTCCTCCATCTCCAAGGAGGGAACCTCTCCTCCACGAAGTCTTCGAAGGGCCTGGATGCAAGCGTCCCTGTCTCCCCGGTCAATCAGAAGGTATCTGGGGCTTTCGGGGAACCAGGGAAGGGCGATTAACTGGATCAGTGCTGGTACAGCATTGCTAGCCAGTAAGTAAGGCCAAAAAGGCTCTGTGCCAAGCAGCTCGGTAAGCCCCACAATTTGACCAAAGACAATGCCAAATGAAGTAAAAACCGCAGAGGAAAACGCCACAGCCCCTCTGAGGTGTTTGGGAGCACTTTCTCCAAAGTACATAGGTTGGACGTTCATGCTGACACCACAGTTCATCCCCACCAGGAAACGGGCAAGGATGATCATCTCGAAAGCTTTTGCCACCTGACACGTCAGCACAAGCACAGCGCCAACAAGCAGAAAGGAGTTGTTGAGAAGTAAAGACTTCTTCCTACCAAAGTGGACTGCCATCGGCCCTGCTAGCAGGGCACCCAGCAAGCCACCCAGTGAGAACGCTGAGACAATTAGTGTCCACACCAGGGTCACCTGAGGGGTATCCAGCCCGTCACCCCAGCGCTCCATGTAGGTGTTGTTGATGAAGCTCTGGATGTAGTTGGTGGGAGCATTAATGATGGAGATGTTGTAGCCATACTGGAAGGTGCCTCCAATGGCAGCAGAGCACACAGTTAGGACAAGAGTCCTGCTACTGCCTGCAGGTTTGTTGGTTTCCTCTGGCTCCCTGTAGAGTTCATCTGGATGCTTGCTGTCCATGTTCTCCAGGTTCTAAATCATTAAATCCCAAACATGCACTTTTAATTAAAACTGGATGGAAAACAGAACATCTCTGGACTGTCTCGCCTTCTTCTTTTTAACCTTGTGTGTCTGAAAGCAAGAAAAATGCTCCACAGCAACAAGCCGGCTCAAGAGTAGTTTTATCCTCAGTATAAACTGTCAGGCAAATTCCTTTATCATTGCATTAAAAGCCTTCTCACAAATTTACAGGAGGAAGTTAGAACGTAAGTGTTGCAGGCAGCAAAGATGCAAGCAGTAAAATTATTATAAAAACACAGCTTGTATGAAAGGATATAAAAGATCAAAACCAATGTGGTAAAACTGTAAGGTCTGCCTGACAGTCTACACTCGGGGCATAAAATTTCCCACGCATCTAGCTCGTCATTTCCTGTTTGTGGGTAGTGCTTTTATTCAAAGAAACTTTATTCTGAAGACAATTATTTACAATTCTAAAAAAAAAACGTTTAAGAAAAACTATTGATGAGCTTCAGCCTCTGACTGACCTGCGGACACTGGCATTGTTAAAAACAACTAACAGAACCGGGCATTTAACCTTTGATCGGACTGATGTGCCTTCAGCTGCTGAACACTGATTGAAAATCAGGTTAGGACTGATTCCTGCATATTGTGCAGGTTTAATAACTGAAAAACAAATGAAAAGAAGAAACAGTTGGGTTTACTCTGTAAAGTGCATCGGGACGGCTCTTTGGCGCTATATAAATAAACTGAGTGGAAAATTGAATTGATTGAATCTAATTAAGTGAAACAAGTGGCCCTGTTACATTGTGTCCAGCTGTTATTTTTTCAGCTTTTATTTCATTTAAAAACATAGTAACTTTACAAAATAATAAAAATATTGAATACAACTTACAATACAACGAAAGGTGCAGATAGAAGAAAATCTTATATGTAATCTGCCCCATTCTCACCATCAACACAAAATAAAAACATGCTAACAAAGATTACTGAGACAGCTGCCAAGCAGCTTGCCACTAATTAACTAACAATCCTTGAATGGAGTTTCAACACATTAGTTAGAAATCATTGCTGATCAATACAGAAAAAAGAACACTAAAATAGAAAATCCTCCCAATATTATTCCATATAATTTCTTAACATGTAGTTTTTTACATTCTGTTTAAACTTTATAGTTGATTTGGCCTCTTTCATTACGTATTCCAGCCTGTTCCGTATCCCGACTCCATGTACAGAAACACAGCGCTCCAACTTTTTAGTCCTAAATCTAGGTTTCATAAATATCTCGTGCCCTTTTAAATTGTAGCAACTTTGTCTTTTGTCAAATTTCATTAGAATATTTATTGGTAATGATAAAATAAGTTATGATCCACTAAATCTGGAAACTTTAATAAGCTACTCTTAACTCAGCATTTACAGCATTACACGTGGCTTCCATGTAGTATCTTCAACGAAAATGACCCCTAGAAACTTATTTTCCTTCACTCTTTTAAAATCTTAAATGCTTTAAATGTTGTAATAGTGTTTGGAGCACTGAGACTAAAGGGACATGGCATTTTAACCAATATTCCTTTTTATTGTATGATGTTTTGTTTTTTTTTGTTTTCTTTTCGATGTGTCCACTCAAGGTCAGCAGGAAGACCCACCCTCCACCTCCTGAATGTGGTTTGATTCCAGCAGATCAAATGTTTCATGTGGGAGATCAGCTGCACTTACTCGATTATGCCACTCGGCGTCGACAACGCCCTTCATGCTTTGCATGGGAAGCTGGCTGTTGTCGTCGTCATCTTCCTCCGCTTATCCGGGTCCGGGTCGCGGGGGCAGCATCCCAACTAGGGAGCTCCAGACCATCCTCTCCCCGGCCTTCTCCACCAGCTCCTCCGGCAGGACCCCAAGGCGTTCCCGGACCAGATTGGAGATGTAACCTCTCCAACGTGTCCTGGGTCGACCCGGGGGCCTCCTGCCGGCAGGACATGCCCGAAACACCTCCCCGGGGAGGCGGCCAGGAGGCATCCTGACCAGATGCCCAAACCACCTCAACTGGCTCCTTTCGATCCGGAGGAGCAGCGGTTCTACTCCGAGTCCCTCCCAAATGTCCAAGCTCCTCACCCTATCTCTAAGGCTGAGCCCGGCCACCCTACGGAGGAAACTAATTTCGGCCGCTTGTATCCGCGATCTCGTTCTTTCGGTCATTACCCAAAGCTCATGACCATAGGTGAGGATTGGGACGTAGATCGACCGGTAAATCGAGAGCCTGGCTTTCTGGCTCAGTTCCCTCTTCACCACGACAGATCGGCTCACCGAACCAATCCGCCTGTCAGCTGGCTGTTGCAATTTATTTATTTATTTTTTGAAAAAAATAAAAAAAGGAAACAACAGAATTCCAATAAAATACAAAAGTACAATTCTTTGAATAAAGTCACAACAAGTTATTAAATTAGAACAAAGAAAAGCCTTAATGTGTCAGATATTTTCATTCAAATTTCTCTTGCAATGTAGAAAGTGAAGGCTGGATATTTCCTTTCAATCCCGCCGTCCGTAATCCTCAGTGAGCAGGCTGAGGTGAGCCCCTGACTTCATACAGGCCAGCTGACCCTGTTACATAAATAAATAATATAGGTAATCTTTCAGCTTTAATTTAAGTAACTTAATATCTTATTTGAACAGGGATTGTTCGCTGAAAAGCATCAAAACAAAACGTATTGACAGGTGCATTTATTCCCATAAAGAAAATCCAGGAGATTCTTCCTGTCCACAGCCATCAGCATCCGTATAACGTCTTTGAAAAATATCAAATTATTATTAATATTTCATTTCAATCTGGGATCTATTAAGTCTCCTTTAATTGAATCAATAAAAAAATAAACTGTTACAGGATCTGAAAAACAGGATTTTAAAGATGATTCTCAGACTCAGTTTCAAAACTGCTGCCATAAAGTGTGTCTCTGGTGAATCGCCATGGTTACACTCCCTCCTCCAGTCTCATGCTGTCATCATGATGGATGTCAGGGTGGAGCTAGGGTTGGACCGACGGATCGGGTCTTCATCTGCGGTGATGAAGGTGGTGCTGCTCTGATTTGACTTGAGCTGAATATATCGGCAGCTAGCCTTCTCTGTCCCTCACGAGCTCTCTGCGCGGTTGTTGGGCCGACAACTAAATAGGTTTGATCATTTAGCTGATCTGTTTCCTTTGAACCTGCGGAGGGCGCCACCGTGTCACCACAGCTTTAGGAATTTTGTTTCACAATTTAGACAAATCTGTTGATTCTTTTTTTGATTCTGTCTGAAAAACCAACAACAAAATGAAATGAGTTTAGATTAAAACATATAATGGTCAATAGCTTGTATTTGATAAAGCGCCTTCTAGGATTCTACAACTCCCCAAGGCAACACGATCAGTCATTCACCCATTCAAACACACATTCACTTCCTGTTGGTGATGAGCTACATTGTAGCCACAGCTGCCCTGGGACACACTGACAGAGGTGAGGCTGTCCAGTATTGGCTCCGCTGGAACCTACAACCCCTCAGATGCTGGACAACCCACTCTACCTCCTGAGCCCCATATGGATAGGATATGTATGGACTAACCATATGGGTGCCAACAGGGTTTGTCCATGATTTCCATGATGGCCCCACAGAGGTTTGCCCATAAAAATTTTAATAAGCCCAAATGAGTCAAACCATCTGGATCTTTCAGAAAAACCATGTAGGGCCCGATAAAACCCATGTGTGCAAACCCCTGTGAGGTCACCATGGACTGTGCAGACAAACCCTGTTGGCACCCATATGGGGCCCGCCTATGCATGCTACAAAGAGCTGAGGTTCCTTAAAAAGGAAAAGAAGGCCTAGAACGTCCAACTGTGTCACCGGTCTGCAGGAAGGAGCCATGGTGAGGTGAAGAAATCCTGAACTGAGCAGAAAAAAAGAATCTTCAGCTACAGGAGTTCCAGGACATTTTAGTTCAGATGTCCTTTGGATTTCTGACACGGATGACGGGTTTGCATATCGAAGGGCTTAGATCGACAACAAAGCTGCCGAAAAAGACATTTAAAGATTAACATCAGTGTTAGACTTTTCTTTGCTTTTAGATTACATTCAAGACAGACGTTTTCGTTGTACATGGCTGAAATTAGCATATAGATATATGCTAATCTCATATAGATAAATGCTAATCTCATATAGATATATGCTAATCTCATATAGATACATGCTAATCTCATTTAGATATATGCTCATCTCATATAGATATATGCTAATCTCATATAGATAAATGCTAATCTCATATAGATATATGATAATCTCATATAGATAAATGCTAATCTCATATAGATTTATGCTAATCTCATATAGATATATGCTAATCTCATATAGATAAATGCTAATCTCATATAGATATATGATAATCTCATATAGATAAATGCTAATCTCATATAGATATATGCTAATCTCATATATATAAATGCTAATCATATAGATATATGATAATCTCATATAGATAAATGCTAATCTCATATAGATATATGCTAATCTCATATAGATAAATGCTAATCTCATAGATAAATGCTAATCTCATATAGATAAATGCTAATCTCATATAGATATATGCTAATCGCATATCAATCAATCAATCAGTCAATCAAAGCTTTATTTATAAAGTGCTTTCCATATAAATAAATGCTAATCTCATATAGATATAAACCAGGGGTGGGCAATTATTTTTCCATGGGGCCACATGAGAAACAGAAAATATTGTGGAGGGCCAGGCCAAAAGGCTGAAGTCAATTATGCATAATATTAATGGTATTTCTTTATAAAAAGCAGTAAATCCCATTGTTTTTTCAAGCTGGTAAGAGTAGACTATGTGTTATAAATGAGCAAAAAGGAAAAAGTGAGGTTGGCTTTCAAAAATGTGATTTATTCAAATTTCCCAAGGCAATGGTAAACAAAGTGCGCATTTGGTTTTTGTTAAACATTTGTGACTTATATTAGTTAACAGTTTCAGTCACATTCACTCCTAAACACATTTTGAGTTTCAAATATTGTTGGAAAGAGGTTCTTAGCATTCTACAGACACACAGTATTGTCTGTAAAATAAAATCACTGAACTGTGATCTTGAGAAAGAGGTTTAAAAAAAAGTGTCCCAGTTCACTGCTAGTTGCCTACATTTGTGGTCCAAACACCTTATTTTGTGATTTTAAGCGATTTTTTTCTTATTCAGTGAGAGAAATCTAGTCTCTGCTGGGCTTTAACGAGTGCATCAAAGTCAGGTTGAATGTCTGAGGTGGAGATGCGAAGCACAGCTGACAAATGATCATCAGTGAGAGAGGATCTATACCTGGATTTTGTAAACTTCATCAATGAAAATGTTTGTTCACAAATGTAGGTAGAGCCGAAGAGAACCAACATCTTCTGAGCACGTCTCCTCAGGTTTGGAAAGTTCTCCTCCTTAAGAGAAGAGTAGAAATCCAGCAGAGATCCTGAATCTCTGCTTTCAAGTCCCAAACCCTCTTCAGCACTTTCCCCAGGCTGAGCCATCTGACAGCTGTGTGGAGTCCTCCAAAAGAGCGACAAACTGTCTGTGATCCATTGCCCGTGCCCTGATGAAGTTTATTATTTTGGTAACAACATCAGTAACATGGTTGATTTTTAACACTGACTTGCACAACACATGGTGGTGTATAATTCAATGCAAAAACACCTATGTTTGATCTGCATCGAATTCTGTCACTTTATCTTACATGTGTTTCAAAAGTCCAACATTTTTCCCTGTAAGATTTGGACAACCGTCTGTTGTGACACCTGACAGTCTCTCCCATTTCAATCCCAGAGTGTCCATGCACGCATTTACCTCTGTAGAAAGATCACTCCTTGTCGTTGTCCCTTTCATCGACCGCATTGCTGCCAGCTCCTCTGTGAGCTCCATTATCCCCCGAACAAATACGAGCAGCTGGGCTGTGTCGCGGACATCACAGCTCTCGTCTAAGGCCAATGAGAAAAAGTCAAAACTTGCCACTTCACGTTGCAGCTGAAGCTCCAGGTCCCCCACAATGTCCTCAATCCTCCTGGTCACGGTTCGCCTGGACAGCGGGATTTGCTCAAATGCGCCTTTTTTCAGGGCATATTAGTGCTGCGGAGTCCACCATGCACTCTTAGACAAACTCTCCCTCCGAAAACGGCTTGCTGTTTTTAGCTATTTTGTGGGATATCACAAAGCTGGTCCTGGTTGCTGCATCCCTGGATGTGTGAAGCTTAGTAAAACAGCCTTGCTGCTTTTGCAAATTTGCTAGCAAAGCTTCGGATGTCCGTGCCCTCTCAGCATCAGACAAGTTCTTGTATTTTTCCCCAGTGTTTCTTGTCGTAATGCCGACTCAAATTGTAGTCAACACGGCAATCTTTTCCCCACAAACCAAACACACGGCTTTACCTCCGACTTTAGTAAAAAAATACTTATCAGTCCAATTTTTGTTGAAAATCCTGCATTTGGCATCTTTCTTTCGTTTCTTTTTTTTTTTTTTTTTGCATGAGCGGACATTTCTGGGGCTACAATCACCATGTCAATCGCGGGCACATTGTGCACGTAAAAAACAACTTCAAAATAAAAGCAATGCAGCCTTAGCCCATGCATGAGGTAAAATGAGAAAATACATTTATTTTGTAATTTCCAATTAACCTTACGCGGGCCGGTCAAAGTCAACCAAAGGGCCGTATGTGGCCCGCGGGCCGTAAAATGCCCAGGTCTGATATAAACTAATCTCATATAGATAAATGCTAATCTCATATAGATAAATGCTAATCTCATATAGATATATGCTAATCTCAGCCGTGTACAAAAACAAACGTCGGTGGTGTTAGCCGAAACTTGTCTGCCTAAAAGTTAAAAACAAATCTTTACCACGCTGTCTTTAGGAAACAACCAAGCAATGGAATTTGACAGATTACACAGAACGAACGTACAAAAGACAATATGACTTTATTTGTGTCTGATGAACATTCAACACACCACAGCAAACTGGGGCATCATCAGAACTAACCCCTAAAGATGAACTTTCTCTGTCTGACTAATGCATCCAGACCTGTTGATTTTCAGATATCTGCATATATTAAATAATCTCCTTTAGTGTGGAACATGAGCGGATTACGGTCTGTGACCTCGTAGGCCACCGTCCTCCTGGGGTTTACTTTCTCAGTCTGTAGAAGTTTGTTTTCACAGTCTCAGTTCAGCGTCTCTTTACCTAAAGCTTCAGCAGGACACGTGTCATCAGCTCATTCACAACTAATTCCTGGATCTGTTCAGGTCACATGTGTCCATTTGTCGTGTTAAGGTTTAGAGCCTCGAGCCTCTGGGCTGGGAGGAGGATCCATCAGGTCCCTGAACCCCAGCTTCTCTAGAGGCTCCTTGGCCATGAGCTGGCTGAAAAACACAAGAAGGCACATTAGCAGTCAGTGTGTGATAACAGAGTTAGTGCTCTGGTTTTCTTACTTATCCATCCTGCACTCCAGGTAGTTTTTAGACTGTAGCCGGCACCTGGAGTTATCAAAGCTGTTCTCCCTCAGACACTTCATGAACGTCTCCTTGAAGGCTTTGCATTCTCCTGAAACAAAGGTTAACCAGAAATCAGCCTCAGACTCTAACCAGGTAACTACATCAGGGCCAGGTGTGCAGAGGTGTCCAAGCTGTGGTAGATGGGCTGGTCTTAAACAGGCATGTTGGCCATTTTAAAGAGGACCTTCACTCATGTTTAATACATTTGCAGTGGTCTCTATTAGGAATGAATACCTCGTAAGTCATACTCAAAGAAAAAAGCTCCGGTACACCAGTTTTAGAACAGAGAATTCAGCCAGAGGATAAAGTAGCTTCAGACGGCAGGATTCGGAGTCTCATTTCCTGATATTTGTACATCTCACCTCTGATTGGCTAACAACAACTCCGCCACTGACTCTGTCCGCTATGCACCGTGGATGTTTTATCTCCACAAACAACACAAGCCTGGAGGAGGTCTGCTGTGTGGTGGAGTTGCTAATGCTAATGGTTAGCTGCTACTAGCCAAGACGTTCTCTGCTGTTTCCTGGACGCTAAACCAACAGCAGCCTTCCCCGTCACCAGACAAGATGGGTGAGTCCATGAGTGTTAAGTGGCAGTGTGACGTACATCTGTCAGGATTTGCTAATCCTACAGTTTCACCGTCTTCTATCAGAAGCTAATGCAGGAGATAGGTGTAGGAGACTATTTTCATGTTCAGCCTGCATGAAAAACTCAGAGTGACCATCAGTATCAAAAATAATAACTAAAAAATGGTTTCTCAGTGAAGGACCTCTTTAAATAAATAACTACCGTGCCTGTTGTACATTCCTTAACCGTCTCTGTTCAGGGGAACACTTCATCAGACAGGACTGGTCAGCTAACAGCTAGTGATTTGTTCCACTCATCAATTTCAAAACAAGGCCTCACGTTGACAGATGTTCAGCCATTTTGACTCTCTGAACTTTAGTTGTGTCCTCTGTGTGTTTGGATGTAATTGTGGAATTATTTGGACAGAGGGCGAGCTGTGGTTATACTGACTGCACAAGCAGATCATCCAAGCAGTTTCTGCTTCTTTTTATCAGTAAGTAAAATGATATTTCTGTACTTTATCTCGCTGGTTGAATGGAGGAAATGCTGTGCCATTTAACTGCTTGGTCAAACATGTTAGAGGGGCTGCATGAGAAACTTGAGCGGGTGCCCGGCTTCTCCTGTCTCCTGCCCGGGAACAGTTGCTAGAGCAGGTGGCTGGCTGTTCCCTTCTCCCAGGGCAGTGGGGACGCGATGACTGACTCCCATGCAAGGCTGTAGTCATGCTGGTCACTTGTGGAACTCTGAGGGAGACCACAGGAACACCACAGCTCTTTTAGTTGACGCTGCTGCACTTTTGAGTCGCTCAACAGCATTTCTTTGGCTAATAGTTTGCTGGTTGAATGGGGGGAAATTCTGTGTGTTTACCATAGCACTGCATCGTTGAAATACAACGTGTTGGTGTGGCTGCTGGGTACCAGAACTAGAGCTTCATATCTGACCAAGCACAGCAGAGATATCGGACTTAGCTGTTCCACCGCACTGAAAGATCCGCGAGTCTGCCGTTGTCAACGCTCCCAGCTCTGAGAGTGTCACCATGGCTCCCGGCTCCTTGTCGTCACAACGCTGGTAGCCAAGTCGGCCCTCCTGTCTACGGCCGAGAGCACGACACGGAGCCAGGGGCCGAGTCGACGCTCCCAGAGCCGGTAGACAGTCCCGCCCTCAGCTCCACCTCTTTCTATAACACCCATTTTGGATTGTCTGGGGGTGACGTGACATGTGACACAGCAAAAAAGTCAGTGGTGGGAACCTCCTATTTTTGGCATCAACCTGCCCCTGCGGAACAATGGGCGGGCTATGTCCATCCTTTTTATATGTCGATGCTTCAAACTCAAATGATTTGAATCTTGTGTGTTAAGCATCAGTACAATATGCCCTCTTGTATGTTGCATGTGTGTGTATATATCTGTAAATACGAATGCTTTTATTGTGAAAAGGGCAAAAGAGGAAGTGAGGATGACATCATAATAATGTGGCAAGGTGGAGAAACGAGGGCCCGGGCGGGATTCGATACCCAGACTCCCGAGTGAGAGTCACGCGCGCTAACCAGTCAGCCAAAGGGACATCCCCTTGGCCAAGTAGCCAGGGCTCATGATCAATCGGGTCACTGTGACAGGACGCTCACACTGTCACAATAAGGTAACCAATGACAGACATGTGTGTTGACCTTTAACCTTATAGATGCACCAATAAAAGGGGAGCATTGGTGTCTGCAAGGGTGCTAGCGCCAGTGAAAGCCCATTGAAACAAGAAGCTCTTTATCTATCGTTTATTTCCTACCTTTGAACCTGGGACTCCGCTTGGGATATTTGGATCGACCGCTGCGTACGACGACACTCTGCTAACATTGTGTTTTATTTGATCTTCAGTCAAAAGCTTCATTTAGAAGAATGCTAGGTTCCATTTAATGGTGTTCTTTGTTTTCTTCAACCAAACCAGATGAGTGAAATTCAAAATTTAATAAAAGTGTCTTCTATAAACAAGATGGAGTCTTCCAGAAAATAATAAAAGGGCTCAACACTTTAAATATGAACATCATCTGAGAGGATGGATCCTGCCTGGTACTGTGTCTCAACAAGATCAGGATGAACGGAACAAATCATGTTTTTAATGGAACTATTTCAAAGCTGTTATCAGTTAAAGTTACTAATGATAACAGCAATTTGCTTCACGTGCTTTTGAAACCAATGTGTTATAAAAGAGAAACTCTACAATGTTCTTGTTTGTTGTCACATTTATCAACAATATTAACTAGAACCTGTTATAGTGTAGCATTATGAAACGCATGCTCCAATTTTATTGGTTTAGAGCAGTACGCCCTCCGTACATAGGAGGGCGCTGCTGCTATAAAAGGGGAGCTCTTCCGGTAAATAAGTAGGTTCGGGAAACAGCTGGTGCCATTATGCCGCTGCGTTTTGGTGCTGCCAGCCCGTGTCCTCAGGCTGCGTTTATGGTGCGATCGGCTCTGCTTCAACCGTGCTTGGGCATTTGGGTCAGTGTTGGGTGTGATGTCATCTAGTGATGATGATGTGAAGCCTTTTGAACCAACAAAGCTTTACAATCCAATTGTATTGAAAAAAGGTTCAAGGTTCAATGCTTCAAAACTCTGGGAGGACATCTGCTGGTTAATGTTTGTATTTCATTGTATTGTCAGCCAATTCTACTGAAAATGAATGGTGTATTGAACTTTATGGACAAATAAAGCATTAAAAAGCTTCCTCAGGATCATATAATAGTATCTTGAATTTGAACATTACATTAAATATACTAAAATTGCTTTTCTTGGTGTGAATACTTGAAATGAAACAATGTTTATTTTTATGGGATACGTGATGAAATATATCTAATTTACACATATTAACATTCTCTACATATTCAAATATTTTACTTTTCACATTTCTATTGGATTATTAGGCAGGAATAATTAGCTCAATTTATGTATCTTTTTTAGAAATAGAGTAACAAAATGAAGATTAGAAAATTCACATAAGGATAGGACATACTAAATTCCATTACATGTACAACCAAACTGAAAAGCTCATCAACTATTATATTAATTACCAATAAAAGAAGAAAAATCATACCAAACTAGATTTTAATTTAATTAAAGGAAAATGACAGACGGTCTAAAAGATATAGCCCTACAATATGCACCAAGTATAAAGGTAATTTACCAGACTAGACCATATACATTTTCAAACCTTATTTGGAGAGATTAAATTGAAACATTCCCACATCTCAGAACGCCCTCTTTTTGCTACAGGGTCCATTTTTGCGACTCGGTGTTTAATCACTGAATACTGAATCCTGAACCGTCAATCTCACCCCGGCTTTCCACGGGAGCCGTCAGCAGCACGTTACTGCAGCAGCAGGTCATAGCTGCTGATAGGAACCGCTGTGGTCAACAGAACCTTTTCCACTGGAGCCGTCAGCAGCGCGAGTCGGCCGCGTCTCAGGAGCAGCATGTCGCGGCCTTTACGCGCCGGATCTATTTTCTACGCGCGACGCCTCTGAAACGGGTCAAGTTCGACATTTTTGGGGAAGGAAAGACAGGAAATCGAACGCGGAAATGGAGAGAAGCTACAGAGATTTTCAGAATAAAGAACGTACTGCCTTCCGGTTGCTTTACTTTTAAAAAATGTTACTAACTGTGCGTCCCCGTGAGAAGTTATCACCTAGCTAGCGGTCTCCTTTGTTTTTCAGGTCCGTATTGGCAATTATAAAACGGACAGAACATAAAACACAAACCATGCTTTAGTTTTCTCCTGCTTGTTGTTGTGTTTACTGACGAAGTCACTCGTGTGACTTCGTGCCCTGTCGGTGACAGCTGCTCCCCTGCTGCTTCGCCTCTCGTGAGAAGGGCCAAGCAGCAGCTTACGCGAGCAAGACGTGCTGCTGCAGTAACGTGCTGCTGACGGCTCCCGTGGAAACCCGGGGTCAGGTCATACAAACCTGTATGGCAAGACTATGGCAAGCCAAATAAGCATTTATTCTGATATCAGGATATCAGCCAGAATTGTCATGAACATGTAAGCCATTTCTGTCCACTAGTTAACTAGTTAGCCATGTTTGTGTCAACTAGTTAAATATCGAGGGTGAAAATGTGCCCACTAGTTAACTAGTGACAGCAGAAATGCGCACTAGTTAACTAGTGAACACATTTAGGCTTCAGTAGTTAACTAGTTGACACAAAAACTGCTCACTAGTTAACTAGTAAAAGCAGAAATGCATACCAGTCAGCTACTTGAAGGTATTTGTCTCACTAGTTAACTAGTGAGGGTCAAAATGTGCACACTAGTTAACTTGTGGTAGACATAAATGCACACTAGTTAACTAGTGAGCACACTGAGCAATACTAGTTAACTAGTAAGATATGAAACATTTTAACTAGTTAACTAGAGAGAATTTAGGCCTTACTAGTTAACTAGTTGACATTTAGGCTGTCACTATTTAACTAGTTGACACAAACATGGCTAACTAGTTAACTAGTGGACAGAAATGGCTTACATGTTCATGACAATTCTGGCTGACATCCTGATATCAGAATAAATCTTCATTCGGCTTGCCATAAACTTGCGCCTCTCGGTTTGCGTTGCTTTAAATATTTGAAACAACGTGTGAAGCGGTCACGTGGGTGGAAGAGTGAATGAAGCATCGTTGCTCATTGGTCACGTGACTTTCAGTAAACAAATCAAGCTCCGACACAGTGCTTTGCTCTGCGGTGGTTCGTTTTGGTGATACAAGCTTCGAATCCTGCGTGTCACAGGTAACATCACTAATGTCATCGCTTGCCTGCTGAATCCTCGTTGCTTCTGGGCAGAGAGTTCCCTTCTGTTCAGGCGTTACTAGCGGGAGGACCGATTCCTCCGTGGTCCGGCCGGAGGCGCCGCTGTTTCGTCTGGTTTCTCTTTACCACATTTTAAATCAGCTGGTTGAAGGAAGTTCCCCTGGCTCCTGGCTGGCAGTGGCGGTTCTACATGGAATTACTCCCTGGGCGAGGAACCCTTTGTGCGCCCCCCCACCCCCACCCCCACCCACCGCCACACCACCCCACCTGCACGAACACACGCATGTTTTCTACAAACAGGCTTGTTTTATTAGAACGACTATTGAACATTCATTTTTCTAAGTTGCACATATTTACATTAATTACTATGAAGTTGTCAGAATGTAAAGCAATATACATTATATACTGTATCAAAATATATAGAATCAAATATACAAAAACAAACAATAACTAAATATTAAGAATATATGAACATAATATATAATAAATATTCTAAATAGCAAAAATATTTCACACATAACAAACTAAAGATAATCACTACAGCATTGCACTTAAAACAGAAAACACAAACTAAAATTAAAACCTAACCTTGATGCAACGTCATCAATAATGTCATCATATGAAATCTGCTCCCCTACTGAGTGATTGATACTAATCAGAGCCAGGTGAGTGAGCCACCCCTGAAACATAGTTGACCTCAGGTATGACTTGATCAAGTTTTGAAAAGCTCCTCTCAGCTTGAGCCACAGTGACTGGCAGAGCAGTCCAAAAGTTGGGGTAGATCTCCAATAGATCTTTATCATGATCTATAATATTTTAGAATGGCCTCTGAAATTGTAATTTAAACTAACATAAAAAACTGTAGACTACCAAAAATGCCAATTTTTACAGAACAAATCATGTAAAAATAATCAGTGCAGGCATCTGCAATAAATAAATAGGATAGTTAGTGGTGACTGGGGAGTTTTCTTCTGCTTGTAGAGTTGTTTTATTTATTATTATGTGAACATGATCAACATGTGTTGTTGTTCACGCAGGCCACAGGCTGCAGCGAGCATTTAACAAATCCTAGTTTGAATCAGTAAAAAACGATTCAATGAATTTTTTCGAACCATTTGAATATTCGTTTCAATATTTCAGCCCTATTAGCTCTGTTAGCAACTAGTTGACCGAATTTAACCGTTAAAATCCCAGTTACCTGGTTCAAAAAATTGCAAACATGCATCATCTCCTCTTTTCTTCCTGAATCGGGCACCTGGTGGTTTTAGCCTTTTTATGTTCATCTCTTCTGTTTGGCTCTTGACTCAATAAGTTTCCTTTAGTCAGGACTAAACAATTTGACCTCGATCGTTTTGTTTTTCCTTTTTTTATTTGGTCATTTCACACAATTCAGAAACACCTGAAAGAACGATAGGCCTGTGTTTATGATATTATGAATGAAATGTGCGTTAAATGGAAGAACATCAAGATTGACTTTAGCCATGTTAATACAGTTGATTCAGCCCCTAACCGCGCTTTTCATTTGGAAAGACGCAGAGGTGAATTCCCCCGCCACACCCCTCCCCTTCCTCTTCTTACACACACACGGAGCACGTGAACGTTCTCGGTCAGCAGGAGCGCCTGCAGCTGCAGGGGGCGCCAACTCGCTGTTTCCAATCCAGACACTGTCATATAACCGATAAGAGAAAACCTCGGTGCGGCGCAGATTTCTTTTTTTCTTTTAAATCAGCGCCTGTGCGCCCCTTTTGTGTCATGAAAAAATGCCGCCCCGGGCAACTGCCCTGTCTGCCCGTGCCTAAAACCGCTACTGCTGGCTGGAGTCCAGGAGGAGGAACAGCTGATCAACGTCGTACAGATTTTATACAGTTCTCTTTTAATTTTGTTTTATTTGTGCAGGCTGAGGCAGGAGGTGTGGGGTGTGGCCTCGGAGGTGGTGGTCCCGTGTGCGAGTGTGATGGTGCTGGGTTCTCACGTTGGTATGAACGCTCACTGCCGGGGGTGAATCATTTATATTTTCTTTCTTTTTTTTTTTTTTTTTTTTTTTGCTGGTTGGGGCTTCTCTGCCCCGAGTCACCCGCCTCCATCACTAGCCTCAGTCCTGCTTGTGAACATATTTTTGTTTGGTTTAAATTCGTTGGTTCTGTTCCTGTTGTCATTAATTTTAGCATTTTTATGATATTTTACATGGCCAGTTTTTTTTAAATGTCTTTTAAGCAGTTATTTTCAATAAACTAAAATACATGAATTGTAACTCCTGAAACCACGTCTCTGTCTGAATTAAATGGAATGAATCTACATGCTTTAATTCCTTGGGTGAAATTCCCATGGTGGCGTTGTTAATGAAATTGCACTCGAGCAGATACAATTGCCATACCTGGCGTCAACAGGTCATAGACCACTCCCGTATTGCCACAATAGGAACAACGACCATTTAACATACTTGTATAAAGTTACGTAATTAAACCAACGTATTAAAAAGCATTTGTACACATTTTATTTCATTTAGTCCACGTGTAAAAATAAGTTTAACATTTTTAACAGAAAACTCGTGAAAGTGTTATTTCATGTACCACCGACAACCACCGAACAGGACGGCCTGACTCACCGAAGTGGTCCAGAGGGAACGAGCCTTTGTCTGGAGCTCGAGGTTTAAACGCCTTCGAGCCGAAATTCATGGCAGTAGACATGTTTATCTGCTGTTTGTTTTATTTAAAAGAAAAAGAATCCATTAGCTTTTTACCGACTGGGTATGACTCTAGCGGCGCATTAATATGACGACACATTGTTTTGAAAGCTGCTGTGTGAGCAGACATTACTAATCAATAACAACCACATTGATGACCGATCGTTTTTTTCCCCCCACAAAATCAGATTTTACATAAACATTAAACGTAAAAGACAAAATGCAATAAAATTTAAAATAAATAATGGTGAATTCTGACAGCTAGCCTAGCTGTTGGACTTATTTGATGCACAAAACTGAATAAAAGAATAGCTTAACATCAGGAACGAGTTCTTCATAAATAAACCAAAAACACATTATCAACGGTGAAACGGGACAAAGTAGAACGAATTAACTGTGGTTTGTCTGTTTATTTATTTAGAGTATTTAGAAAAGATATGAGATAAAATGAGATTTTTGTATAATTACCCATTACACACAAAAACAATTGGACAGGTTACAGAAGCCACCGACGTGCGTCGGTGCAATGGGTGGGCCCAGAGAGGGGTCCGGAAAAGAGAGAGAGAGAGAGAGAGAGGGGGGGGGGGGGGGGGGTTGGGGGTTTGGAGAGTCGGCCAGCCGCGCAACAGCGGAGATGAGGACGCATCTCAACTCAGACATGAGACGCATTAATATTCATCATGGTATGATCTGTGTGTGTTTGCTAATTAAACATAACTCGAGTGCATTCCGGCTTGTAAGTGATCATGTTTGGAGAACCAGTTTAGGGTGGAATTTTTAGCACGCGCTTCTGCGGAGGTACGGGGGTGGATACCAGCTGAGAAACAGCGACTGTCACTGATGATGATGATCAGACGCGTCTCCTTTTTAGGGACAGGGAAATAAATCCTTGTAACAAAATGGTGCTGCTGTGTCCGAAGTTCTGGCTAAACTTTATTTCCTTTCATGGGCCAAGGTCTTGTTAGATTATGTTAAATTTAACTTTAACCTTCTGAGACCCAAAATTGTATTAGGTGTAATTTAAAAGATAAAACATAGCTATTGCAAATTAGTCGACTAATAAATGTGAACAAAATGTTACTTTTATTTAATAAATTTAAATTAAAATTTTGACAGAAAATGTTTAAACATACAGTTTAATAATCATATCAATAACTATTATTATTATTATTATTATTATTATTATTATTATTATCAAATATAAAATAAACATCCAACATTTTATTAATTTTGAATGTTTTAGTATTTTCAGAGCCTGGTTCATACTCGGGCACATTTATGGCATTCAGATGATGAGATAATTGAGTTCCTATTTATTGATGTTATTTCAGTGATACTTTGTTTTTAAAGCTCACATTTCACTAGTTCAATTAGAAACAGTATCATTTGACTTCGCAGGCTTTTGGCGGTGGCGGTGTGTTTTTAAACACTCGCCGCTAGATGTCTCACTTCCCCTGAACATCGTGAGCCGGGTGAGGGAGGTAGAGGAGGTCTTCTACGGGAGTCATGATTATGTTGTAGTCAGGGAGACCTGAAGCTGTCAGAGACCAGCAGGGACAGAGGACGCACCAGTCTCTTCCGTTCCGCCCGGCTCGCTCCGGTCCAGCTCCGATTGCACGTGACAGGTGATCAATCGGTCAGCCAGGCCTGTCTGTCGGATGTTCTTGGCCAGGCTGCTTCCATCACCGCGGCGAGGCAGGTAGGATAAATGGCGCTGGAGCCGGAGGGGAACGCGCTGCGGCTGCAGGACGTGCTGTCTAGACCCGGGAACCAAACATGCGCTGACTGCGGCAACCCAGGTGAGACCCGCTGCTCGTCTCCCCGGACCGGTGCCCCGGTGCCTCCGGTCCAGGCAGATGAGAGGAATAAAGTCAACATGTCTGTAGATCCGCGTCCATTTGTGTTAATGAGGGTTTGAACAGATCATTTCTGTTAGAATAAGGCGAGGCTGAACTCTGGATTAAAACTGCTCTATAAAACCATCATAGGTGTGTGTGTGTGTGTGTGTGTGCGTGTGTGTGTTGGAGGGGGGGGGGGGGGGGCACTCAGCTACTCTTCCCTTTGTGTCTTTGTTTTGCTTTTCATCAAAGGTGATAAACCACAATCTGTTGCTGCATGGGTATTAAATGATCTGCAGATGACAGCAACTCACTTCTCCGAGTTGTTTTCTCCTCCACATCCATCTCTTTTACATTTCCTTCATCCCTCACTTTTGTACTTCTCCTTTGTCCTCACTGATATGGCAGTAAATCATTAAGTGGCCTCTTAAGCTCCAGGACGGGCTGAACGCCCAGAACTTGGAGCTGAGCCCGTCACCACTCCTGTTCTCTGGTTGGAGCTCCAGCGAGGACCGGCTGTAGCAGAGCAGCTCTCCAGAACCTGTGGTGCTAGTGAAATTGGAAGGCATAGAGGCAATCACTAGACTGATCTGTTTACGTGTGCTCTGAAGTGACTTTTGTTGTGAAAAAGCGTGTCTAGTATCAGCTTGGACCAACTTCTGCCTTCAGATTTGCCCTAGTCCTTCATGATGTAGAACCTGTCAAAACAGGTGGTGTAAACATTCCTCAGAGGTTCTGGTCCATACTGACGTGACATCATCAGCTACATCCAGGATGAGATTCCCCCAATCCACCACAAGGTTCTGGACTGGACTGAGATCTGGTGGCTGTGGAGCTGGTTGGAGTCCAGTTAACTCATGGTCATGTTCTAGAAACCAGTTAGAGACGATCTGAGCTCAGTGACATGCGTGGTGCATGATCCTGCTGGAGCAGAAGATGGTTCCATGTAGTCACAAAGGGATGGACATGGTCAGCAACACTGCTCAGAAGGCTGTGGGGTTTAAACAATGCAACCAGACAACGACCCTGCGAACGTCCTTTCTTCATTCTGATGGTGCATCTGAATTTCACCAGGTTGACATCTAGATGTCTGAGTCACTGCCGTGTGATTGGCTGATGTGATGTCTGCTGTAACCTGTTGAACAGGTGTACCTATAGCGGCTGGTGAGAATTTATAAACGGACGTTTTGGGTTTATTATGAGAGAAGTTGTGTGTGTGTGTGTGTGTGTGTGTGTGTGTGTGTGTGTGTGTGTGTGTGTGTGTGTGTGTGTGTGTGTGTGTGTGTGTGTGTGTGTGTGTGTGTGTGTGTGTGTGTGTGTGTGTGGTGACCTAGATCCACAAGAGCCAAGCAACACAACCACAAGGCTTTACTCACATAGGACTCAGCTATAGAACCTCAGACCCATATAAACAAATTTCAAGGAAATTTGATGTAATGGTTTCGATGAGGATAGAGCGAACCATTAAATAAACATTTCATCTGTGATTTCAACTTACAATAGCAGCACTTATTAGTGCAAACAAGATGTGATGTTTTATTTACTACCATCTGCAAAATACTCTGTCACCCAATACTTGTGCTCACCAGGGTGTGTAAATAGCTGAGGATATCATGTCCTTACACATTAGGGGCTTCGTCCAGTGATAGGCATATTTAAATTTTCTATGTGTTTTTTTTTAAGTGGTTTTGATCAGTTATTCTCTAGATTTCTGAAGAATTTTTATTGTTTTTTTTTAAGTTTTGCTCATATTTTTTCATTTTCGTTTTTCAGAGGCTTTATTTCTGTTGCATGACGCTGTAAAACGTTGACAGCAGTGTAAAGGTTTAGAATTAAGATGTTGTGTCTCAATCTCCTTTTCTTTTGTATGAAAACAAAATGTCCCATTCATAAGCACACCCATGTTGTGTTTTTAGACCCGGAGTGTGAACAGTTGACCCGTGTTGCTGAAGGTTCTGCCCACTCTCCTGCTCACAGTCATGATGTGTTTTAGGCTTCAGATGACTAATCGCAACTAAACTTTCAGAAACTATTCAGTCATACAAGAACTGTGTCATTCAACAGAAGTCAGCACTTATATCAGATGTACTTTTATTTTTTAGGAAAATGGTTCATTTGTTTATGTGGAAGGGCGTGGCTTAAAACATATTCTGCAGCCCGCCACAAGAGGGCTCAGTTTTTTGTCCTATTGTTCTGAGGAAGGTGCAAGAAGTGTTCCTCATCAGGTCCGGAGGGTTCTATTAAGACGGCACTTAAAGTACTTCATCTGGTGAAACGAAGTATACATGTCATTGCTTTTTCACCCACATTTGCGTGGTTTAATTTATAGTATTTCAGGAGGGGCTCCATTCGCGATATATAAAAAACATTCCAACTGAACGTACAAGTTGAAGCTTGGACAAACAACCACCCCTCTATAGAGCTCCGGACGTCATGTGACTCTCAGAGAGTAGACACCATGTTGGCAGGCAACAAATGTAAACAAAATGAACAGGATCGGCTTGGATTTTACTTTGTCGGAGTTTACTTCACACTTTAAAACCGAAGAAATCGTTTTATATAGTCAGAAATTAAATAGACTAAACATCTCCGACCCTTACCGTGCCCCTGGGATACTTTTTTAAAACGCCAGAAGCTGTCGGAGCGGACTTCTTACCGGACCTGGCCGGGGAACGCCTTGGGATTCCCCCGGAGGAGCTGGCCCAAGTGGCTAGGGAGAGGGAAGTCTGGGCCTCTCGACGCTACTGCCCCGCTACCCGACTCCAGATAAGTGGATGAAAATGGATGGATGGATGGATGGACAAATAACAGGTTTACACGTAAGTAGTTTAAATACAGTGCTGTGCTGTTTGAATGTATAAACTGAACACCAAGAGAAATCACTAGTCTGATTGTTTTCCGTGAATAAAATAAATATGTCAGGCAGGAGCGTCTCAGGATCTGTCTGAGATCTGTCTCGGTGAGACAGATCCAAAGTGCTTTTTATGTTGATCTGACAATTGATCAACCATTGCTTAAAAATTAAATACAGCTTAGCTGGTTAATTGCTGTGATCATAAAACACGTAAACGGCAGCACGCAGAACTCACGAGGCAACGTTTTACATGACGTTTACTTGTTGCTATGAGTAATAAGACAGAAAAAGCCACGCCAAAATAAGTTTAGGAAGCCCACTAAGAATCGTAATAAAAGCATTTAAAATAAATACCATACACAGTTGAGGAAACGTTGGTTTAAGTACCTGATATAAAGCGGTCGCTGCATAAGCGAAAAAGTCATCCGCGTCTGTTCTGCATCCTGGGGCACAACAGGAATCTACCATATTTCCCGTTTGATTGAGTTTTCTGACAATAACAAATAGTCCAGCTGCGGGCTTCTGCCTGCCAAGATGGCGCCGTTTCGATTTGAACTGTTGCATGCTGGGAGAAGTGACGTCAACTCCCGGAGCTCTATTGGCTGGTTCCTGTAAACATTTAAGCCCCATCCCAGAAAACAAATCCCAAACAAAAATTAAAAAGAATCTCAGTTATACTTTTTACGGGTATTAAATTCTCTCTTTTCATAGTTTTTACCTTGCTGCTGTTTGTTCAAATTTTAATTTCTCCAACGCATTTAGTTGTAATTGAGTTATTTGATACTTAATGTGTGTGAGGAAGAGTAGGTGGGTCTTTCAGTTCAACATCCAGAGTTGTCAAACTGTTGGGCCCAATCCAAATCCCAATCCCAATCCCAATACCCCTCCCACTGTCTTTATGGGTGACCCTGCGAGGAAAGTTGACCATTGATCAGGATTGATGGTTTATCCCTTAAGGTCCACGTGGCAGGGATGAGGTGGTGCTCACTCCTCACCCCTGCCTCATGGACCCAAGGGATAAACCATCAATCCTGCTCAATGGTCAACTTTCCTCACGGGGTCACACCCATTAGGACAGTGGGAGGGTTATTTGCCCTGTGCCATACGGTCTTCTGTGAAGTGCACTTGGAAGAGATGTGCAGTAAAGCTTTGAGTGTGTAGTACACAAGTCTGCAAATAATCACCAAACTGAGACAGGGAGCATTGCATCAGAAAAGGCACTTTTTTCCCACAGCAATGGATTGTGGGTAATACATTTGGTGAAGGGGTGAAGGATGCAAGGGTCAAGGGTGCCAAAGGGGCATGATCAACTTCCGCACTTGAGAATCGAGACACCCTACACACTCGTATCCCTAGCCGGAATCACACCATAGAGGGCTGCAAGTGGCCTTGTTGTAAAAGGACAACATGGCAGGATCTTGCCAGGACACTTGGTCTAATATACCATCTAAAGAAGGTGCAGCAATAACCACTTAACTGTCTGGTTCCAGGATTCCCAGACTCATATTTCTTGTCTCATAATGGTCTGGACATGAATAAGTAATGCCCGTTTGGCGACTCAGTTTGAAGATGGGGACAAGATCCCATCAGGTCACCTTCACAGAGATTTGAGAGTGGCTGAGTGCCAGGTTCACGAGGGTTGGCTGAATTTCTTTTTTTTTTTTCTTGTATTGAACTAAGAGGTCCTTCATTGAGAAACCATTTTTTACTTATTATTTTTCAGCCACTTTGAATTTAACATTCAGGCTGATAATGAGAATAATCTACACCTATCTCCTGCATCAGCTTCTGATATAAAATCGACTGTGAAACTCTAGGATTTGAAAATCCTGACGGCTCTACAGCACACTGTCACATTCATGGACTCACCCATCTCGACTCATGACGAGGAAGGCTGTTGTTGGTTCAGCATCTAGGAAAGAGAACATCTCGGCTAGTAGAAGCTAACCATTAGCATTAACAGCTCCACCACACAGCAGAACTTCTCCAGGCTTGTGTTAATTGTGGAAATAAAACATCAACGTTGCAGAGCAAACAAAGTCAGCAGTAGAGTCGCATTGCTGTTAGCCAATCAGAGGCAAGATGTCCAAATATCAGGAAATAAGAC